GTAATTTGTTTAGTTAGTGACTAACAAAATAGCTTTACCTATGATTACTCTTCTCTACATACCTGTGCAGTATGCTTGGCAGGGTAATAAGAAAACAAAAACTTATTGATTATGCTTGTCATTTCATGGATTTCTAGTGCCATAATAAATAAATACTAGAGAAAGTATAACAAGACAATAATTTATTTGATAACTAAAAATTAGAAGAAAAATTGCTAAAGATACTAAATTTAATGTCTGTTAACTATGGCTCAAAAGGCACAGAATAATTACATCGTGAGACTGACTTGAGAATTTTTTTATTCCTTGCCCCATTTTTGCCCCATCTATATGATTTGACAAGGGTTTCAAATGTAGAGGAGCCAGAGCAATAGAATTTCTGCAGTGATGGATGTGCTGTAAATCTGTGCTGTCCAATATGGTAGCCACCAGCCCTATTTAGCCAAGTAGTATTTGAAATGGGTGTTAAAAGGATTGACTAGATTTGGCAACTGAGGGGTCCGTCTTAACTGAATGCTATTGTGGAAGGTAGATGAGGAAATGGGCATTGAGGTAGACAGCAGGTGCATGAGGGGAGGGGAGGAGATGGAGGGCACAGCAGGAAGCAGTTAAGCAGAAGACAGGATTGGAGCTCTGCTCCCCAAACCAGTAATCTGGCCTCAATGGAAAAACTGAATGGCAGAAAGCTAGACTTAATATTCAGCTTTTATTTGGGACAAAGAGGTAAATTAAGCTGAAATTCTTTGCCACTTAGTAAAAGCAAGTGATAAAATGAGAATTGGCCCCCACTCCTTAGGCAGAATGGGAATGTCTGTGGTATTGATTGTGTGACCATGACACAAATGCAAAATAAAATTCTAAGACTTAAAATATTTAATTTTTTTCTGAAAGCTGTAAGAATCCATAAAGCTATATTTTAGCATTTCCCTTAACAGTAAATTTTATAAACTCATAGTACCAAGGTTTATTTGTTTAAAAAGATAGAATTTTAAATTTTTATTTTAAAATATTTTATTACCATTCCTTTATTTAAGAAGTAACATGATTACAGTGAAAGACTTTGTCTAGGTTGGAGAAGTTGGAAAGGAAATGAATGGCAAACACATTGTAGGAACAGTGACAAATTTCACATTATTGTTGAAGCTTGGTAGTATAGCTTTGTCAGTAAACAACACTCAAAAGTTATAATGGACATAGATTTTTAAAAAAAGAAATAGAAATTGCTATAATAACAAAACTGGTATATTTCTCAAACTGAAAAGGTGTGTTCTTGAACTTCTCAGTAATCGTTCTTAAACTAACTTTAAGTTCTAAGACACCAAAATGTAATTTCAAAATACACAATCTATATTTATATATAATACTAATCAAAAGTCAAACATGGCTGAAATAATAACATTTTAACTGAATATATATTGACTAATCTGCTTCATTTTATGGGCAAGAACCAAGAAGCCTAAAAACATACGGCCTGGCAAAGCTTACCTGGCTATAATTCAAACCCAACTCCAAGCCACCTTATTTTATTTTATTTTATTTTTTTTTTGGATTTGGTTTTGGTTTTTTGAGACAGAATCCCTTTATAGCCCCAACTGGCCTGGAACTCACAATATAGACCAGGCTGACCTCGACTCATAGAGATCTGCCTCTGCCATCTGTGTACTGGAATTAAAGGCATATGCCATCACACCTGGCTTGTCACTTTACCTTTTAAACAAAAGACTAGCTGAAGACATCAGGTTATTTTGGGTCATCCTATAGATTATAGAAACAGAGAAAATAAAGCATTTATTTTTATTACTTTTTCATAGACACAAAATAATTATATATATTTATCACATACGGTGATGGCTCTATAAATGTATATATTATATTATTAACAAATAAGAGTAATAAGCAAAATGAAAAATTTCCAACAGTATGCCTCATTAGGGACAATGAATTGAATATGTATACTCCCCAGTAATATTTATATTTAATATTTATATTCCCCAGTACATAAGGCACATTCTCATAATTTATATTATGATTCCCCTACTTTCCCTCACTCTTTTCAAGTATTGGGTTATTATCCTGTGTGCTAGGAAATCTGACCAAATGGAAGAGGTTCTTATGCATTTAATAACTTCTTTAAAAATATCAAACTTCCCTCTATTTCTTCCAAAAGTCTCCTCCCTTGTTGAAAATAGAAAGGATAGTGTATGGATGATTCAGAGGAAGAGCAGTGGTCTTTAAGGACTTAATTATTGAAACCATCAGAGTATTCAAACCCCACTGTCAATTTTTGAGGATTACCTGTAGACAGTAGATCCTACACCCCATAAGAGCCCTATGATATGCTTTGTGTTTGTAGAGACCAGGCTCCATATTTTACATGAGTCGAAGGTGTGGGCTGGTAATTCAGTACATGGAAAACCTGAAAATGGTCTAGCACATAGATGGCTAGTGTTGCTGCTGCTGCCGCCGCCACTGTTGTTTTAGGGCCAGTGCTTTGGGAAATCCCCAAAGAGTAAAAGTCAGACGAGTTATCACACATCCCACTCATGTCTCCATAGTCCATTTCTGGAAGTAACAACACTTTCTCAAAATGAAGTCATTATATTCTTAGCCATGCTCTATTGTGTGCACTGAGTAATTTCTTGAGAGAATGCTTCCTGTGGTGTATTGCCAAAACTGGCTGTATTTGTTTTTCATTAGACTTTTCATTATCACACTGCTATATACCTGGATTGTTCTGCTTCCTCCAAGATGGCTGGGGTAGCTGAAGCATAGGCATGAAGCTGTGAGCAGGTGAAATGCTTTGTTCAGTGAATGCCCATCTTGAATACCAAACTATGTTACCATTCTAATGAATTTAATAACAGTCTATTAACCATTTATAACATGGCCTGATAGTAAACTGTTTACATCCACCTATTCTGTCAGAGAAAGGCCCTAATCTCACCTTGTACCACAATTAGGCTGCCCCTCCTCCTTCCTTATCTCAGGAAAGGCATCCAGATCCATCTCCCACCCTGTCCTAGAACCAGGAAAGGTATCCAGATCCATCTTCCCACTCTGTCCTGGAACCAGGAAAGGCATCCAGATCCATCTCCCACCCTGTCCTGGAACCAGGAAAGGCATCCAGATCCATCTTCTGCCCCATGCTGCACTCCTCGTTCTATAGTCTTCAAGTCAAACTTCTTGATAGCTTTCAAATCCACCTGCTTCTTTCTGCCTTTCATGACTATGACCTTAGTCTAAGCCCATATCATCTCTAGAACTACAGCACCTAATGGTCTACATGGCTCGAGGACTTCCCTTTCTAGTTCATTTTCTTTTGCTTTGAAGATCTGTTAGTACCCATTCTTCTCCATGAGCAAGTACCCAGTCGCTTCTGTTCGTAAGTGTTTTGTGCTACACATTAACAAGACGGAATTCAAGACAGAGTTTGATTTACCCCCAAAAAATAACAGTAGAAATCCTTGAACTTCCATAAGTTTCTCAATTTTTAAAATGCTTTATTTTCATTTTTAGTGAAATTTAATACTTGTATGTGGGACATAGTGTGATCATGTGATACATTTGCAACATATAATAAACAATCTGGGTAATTAGCATTTTATCTTTGTAAACATCATTTCTTAATGTTGGAAAGCTTTGAATTCTTCTAGTTATTTTGGGATATATATCAAATTGATATAGTTACTCTAGTATGCAATGAAGAATTAGAATGAATTTTATCCATCTGACTGTATTTCGGTTCCCATTCTCTGCCCTCTCTACTACCCTCCTCAGCTTCATGACTTCTTTTCTACTTTCTATCTTCTGCACATGAGTGAGAATGTGTAGTATTTATCTTTCTGTGATTGGCTTGTTCTATTTGGCATAACTAGACTCTTCAGTTTAAATAGAAACTCTATCTTATAAACTCTGAAAGACTTAAATTTAGGGACAAAATGAACAATCTATACTTTTCTGTTTCAAATATTAATCAGAGGCTTAAATACTCATTTGAGATCTGAGACTTTCCTTGGAAACAGTGTGGCTCAACTTTTTCATTATATAGGGAAGGAAACTGAGGCCTAGCCATAAAAGCCAAAATGCTCTTTCTAAATTTAAAAGCTTATCATGCAACTCTTTTTTTCTAAGCCTGCCCATGACTTTTCAGGGTGGTCAGAATGAAGTCTGAACCCTCAGTGTGATGTACAATGTCTGTTTAGTCCGGCCTGAGCTTATTTTTCCTTCCTTACCTTTTTGTTCTCTCTCCATATTGTTCCATAGCTCAGCGCTTCCCAGTATATTATGGGTTTTTTTTTTTCCTACAGGTTTTTTACAAATGATTCCTCCTTTGCCCTTTTTCTGTTGGGTCCTAATTGTATTTCAGATATCTAATTATACATCATCTTCTTCATAAACATATTCCGAATGCTCTCAGAAGACCCAAGGAGGTGTCATATTGACCCCATTTGCAGCTTTCTAATTGTAGAATAGAAGGCATCACAACAGTTGTTAGCAGGGACTTGCATCTTATTCATTGCTCCATCCTCACATCTCAAGACTCTGGCATTCAGTATTTTAAAGTGAATTATTTTTACTTTTAACCTGACATCTTCATGTCAATTTTCTATCAGCCCTCCCCACAAAAATCTATTTTGAGATTAGATTTTTAAAAAAATAAATGGATTCGTTCACATTAATCTATAAGTCACTGATAATCTTAAATGACAACTCTACCTAGAAGCACTTACATCTTTACAGGAACAGAATTCTAAGTCATAGGAATGCATCTCCAGTGCAGATAATCTAACCATAAATAGTAAGCTATGAGAGATGTTTGTGGGCGGAGGCAAGTTCCCACAGGTGTCCTGGTCTGTCCTCACACTCATAGTAAGATGACTATTTTTCTTTATAAAATTCAGAATACTTTTTGTTGTTTTACTCTGTGTAAAATAAATCCTTATCATTTCACACAACATAAATGCTAGATTTATCCTGTAACATGTCTGGTTTTGTTTCAGGGAAGCAATGTTATGGAAGATCAGGATCTGTTGGAAATTGGAATCCTTAATTCTGGACACAGACAGAGAATTCTACAGGCAATCCAGCTCCTTCCAAAGGTAAAAAATGCTTTATTGCACTTGCTTATGTATGATTCCCAGTGACTTCAAGTGAAAGCATACAGGAGATATTGACAAGGACAGTGTTTCTACGTAGTGCTGCAACCCATAAGAGCAGATCTTCGTAGGTCCTACTTCACATCCAGACACGAAAGACTACCATGAGCTTTACTTGGTTTCAGACTGACTTGCAAGGATGAAATATAGGAAACCCTGCTGGCTAGCAGAGCTGTTTCAGAATATCTCTTCTATGAGAATCCTCACTCAAGTACAGTGTCAGCTCGGGGAAAGAAGATTGTATTCTTCCAATCTACTTATTGAGTGAGTGCAATAATGTCCTTGTTCTGTGAATGGGAGAAAATCTTTGCTGGCTATACATATGACAGGATTAATATCTAGACTATACAAAGAACTAGAAAAATTAAATGCCCCCCAAACATAAACTACCCAGTCAATAAATAAATGTATTAATGAAATGGAAAGACAGTTCTCAAAAGATGAACTATAGATGGCAAATGAACATATATAAAAATGTTCAACATCCTTAGTTATTGGGGAAATGCATATTAAAACTACATTAAAATTCCATCTTATTCTATTCTGAATGGCTGTTAAGAAAACAAATTGTGGGCTGGAGAGATGGCTCAGAGGTTAAGAACACTGACTGTTCTTGCAGAAGACCTGGGTTCAAATCCCAGCACCCACATGGCAGCTAACAACTGTCCATAACTCTAGTTCCAGGGGATCCGACAGCCTCTTCTGTCTTCCGTGGACATTGCACGACACAGGTGCACTTACCTACATGCAGGCAATACATGCATACACATAAAACAAAAATCATAAATAAAATTTAAAAAAGAAAACAAATTGCAACAGATGTTAGAAAGGATGTGGGGAAGGGAAACATCTGTACATTGTTGGTAACAATGTAAAGTACCCTGCCCACTGGAAATAAGTATGAAGGTTCCTCAGAAAACTAAAATCAGAAAACTACCACATGGCCTAGCTGTACCACTTACAAGTACATCTATGAAGAATTCTTAAGTCAACACACAGAAACCCCTGCACACCCATGTTTCTTGCAGCACTATTCACAATAGTCAAGTTATGGAATCGCCTAGGTATCCATCAACAGATGAATGGATTTTTTTAATCTAGTATATGTACACCATGGAGTTTCATTCACCCATAAAAAGGGATGAAAATATGCCATTTGCTGGAAAATAGATACAAGTGGAGGTCATCATATTAAGCCAAATAAGGTGCAGAAAGAAAAACATTACATTCTTTCCCCCATTTGGGGGTCATAGAATTCTTCATAGATGCAAACATGAAACCTTTCATACATATACACACACAAAAAAACATGAAAGCAGAAGGAAAATTGGAGGGGTACTGAAAAGAGGAATGAATATGGTCAAATACATGATATACTTGAAGGAATTTGTCTATATAAAGCTTAACACATATGCAATGAATATACATCAATGAGAACACTGGGGGAGGGAATGCCTCATGTCCCATAAGACTTCAGGGAAGTCCAGGGTGTCCCACTGCCATCATATACTTACAGACATATCATAGCAATATCCCTTATAGCAACTCCAAGACTTACCTTCTGTCCCTACAAGGGACATGCCTAGTTACCAGAGTCATCACTCAGGGAAGTCCAGGGTGTCCCACTGCCATCATATACTTACAGACATATCATCCAGTCCAGATGTAATTTGTCAACCGGGTATCATTTTTACTATAAGCTTTGTGTTACCTGGCAAGAGAGTTGACCTTACTTTCAAGATATAGTTTTAAAGGAACCTAAAGGAAGAGGATGTAAGTACCAGCCTTTCAAAGTATGTAGGATTTTTAACTGGTAAGGAATGGGAAAGGCACTTCAGGAGGCCAGAAGGAACCAGGTAATTGCAGGTGTGATCCAGGCAATAAATTTCTGGAAGCACTTGGGAAATAATTAGTCATTTAAAATCCAATGGAATTGGCACAACAGTGTGAGTGTTCTTAATGCCACTGAACTGTACAGCTAAAATATTTAAGATGGTAAGTGTTATGTGCATTTTACCATAATTTCTAAAATCATCAAAACAGAAAAATAAGAAAATCCAATGTGCTTAGAACAATTGAGAAGTATATAACCTATAACCAAAGATAGAGCAGAAAAAGGAGGTTGGTTCAGTGTATATAGGACTAAGAAAGTTGTAGGCACTGAGGAATGGATATGACCAGGCTATTTATTCTGGTTAATATTGGAGGCAATTTACCAGAAGAAGTGAAGGAGGGAAAGTTGAAGTGGGATCATCAGGCTGGGAAAAGAATGAAAGGAGGGGCAAGATTGGAAAGGTAAACTATAATGGCGGTACCTACACATCCTGGTTTTGTTCTTTTATTTTTTCTTTTCCAAGGATGCTATAGTTTCTCATTCTCAGATGGAGAAAGATAAACATTAATCACAGTTTCTAAGGAAGTTATCTAATGAAATTTGCCTGCATACAGTGAACTGAATTTCTACTGATAAAAAAGTAGCACGTTAGCAAATTCAAGGAGAGTCAAGCACTCAAAGGAGCTTAATCATGTTATTGTCTACACTAAAAAGGAACGAATTGAAAGGCTCTTAGACTTCATTCTCAAAGAAATTCCTATGCGCTCATCGTTTACCACTCTACCTTTGCATCTTTACTTAAAATATTATTTCCTTGATAAGTTTCTTTCATGCTTTCATCAAGAACTTCTATAATACATATCTCCAGTACGTACCTGAGTACCTTGCCCATAAAAACAACTCCATAGATCAATGATGGCCCAATACACAGTTCTGCTATTATTTAAAGTTCAACTCAGACAGCATCATATCACTTCTTTTGTGAAACTTTGTCTAAAATGGAACTACTTCTCACCACCTTGCAGATTCGAAATCTAGTCCAAACCTACTACCTCTAGTAAGACTGCTGAAAATGATTCTGATCTGTCACCATGGTTAGGCTACCTGAACCATTTCTGGTTGATCTGCTCCACCCTGGGCTATTCACATACATCTGTTCCCCTTCCAGATTGCAGGTGAGAGAATACTGCTCTTGCAGAGGACACAGTTCAGTTCCCAATACCCACATCAGGTGGCTCACAACCACCTGTAACTCCAGCTCCAGAGGATCCTGTGGCCTCCACAGGCACCTGCATTCATGTACACACACACACACACACACACACACACACACACACACACACAGATAAATAAATAAATAATTAAATAATTAAAAAATGATACAAAAGTACTATAAACTTAAGTTGCTCTCAAGAAGCTGCTGCAGAAATATTTACCACATGCACAGTAATGAGAAGAGAATACGTACTAATGTCCAAACACACCCTCAGCAACACAACAGACTGTCACAATGCTCCAAATTGATGTTTTGCCTTCTTAGGTAATGAGCCCAGTCTTCGGATGGAATATCACTGAGGAAACATTCATCTGCATTTGCTCTGGCTTTCCATTGCCAGAAAATATGGACAAAGTATTTATTTTGTTTACTCAGTTTCAGTCTTCAGAATGTTTGTGTTCTCCATCTGTCATGATAAGCATTCCGTGATTACTACCTGAGATGTTTTAATTAACACATTGTGTTTTGGAATTACTGAGACTATTCCTAAACAGAGAAAAGATGGTTTGCTAAGGATAACTTTAATCTCTTTCTTGGTCCACTTCAAAGCATGCTTTATTTGTATTTGGTTGTTCTCAAGGTTTGGGGGGCGGGTATTTTGCCTGCAGTATGTCTATTTAATATTGAAATATATCAGTGTAAAGATCTACAAGTTCTCAAATACATTTGATGCATTCATGGCATAGAATACCCTAGTGCAGACCATCCACAGTCATCTTTAGGCTAACAACCACATTGATTTCACCTGTTCATCCATTACTTCCCCTCGGTCTTTTGCATCACCCAGCCTTCAGAGGTAAAGCCCACCAATTTTCACACAACATCTACATCCTCTGCCAGCCCCAACTCAGGCTTTATTCAGATGATAAAGTTTCCCTGGACTTCTGAAAATCAAACTTTATCCTTTATAAGGATATAAGGATCTTTAGCTTTATAAGAAAGGAACCATGCCAAAACTTCCATGAGAAAGTGGATTGTTTTGTACTCTTACAAACTAGACATGTTGCATTTTTTCTGTCCCTTACACAGAGGGATATTATCTGATCACTTATTTGCAACATATAATTTGCATTTTCTTCCAGGTAAGAGCTCCATGGGGCTAATCTCTGGATAATCCTCTATGTTTTTCTTTTGAAAATGCACAGTTGCTTTTGTTCTTTGATAATAGGGCACTGAAGTTCACATAGGCAAAGGATTTACATTTTTAAAGGTATAGAGAACTTTGTGTCAAGGCCGGTATTGTATCTCCCTTCTTGGTACCTCTCACATCTTCGATTAAAAATGTTTTCATCGATTGTTTCTATCATGTGCCATCTTTCCTCTGCTGATAGTGTTTGGAGTTGTTTAACACAAGTCTGCATATTCCGCTCTCCCTTCTTGTGCTTCCATTCATCCTGCAGTTTACTTGGTTCTGAGTCATTCCTCTGCTACCATTCTCTGCTAGAACAGTCTCCTAGTCCCTTTCCATCTTTAACTTAACTCCGACTCCAGCAGACTCTGATCCTGCTGACAACTTGTTAACATTGTGTTCTTTTGGCTTCAATACCGGGCTACTCTCTGCCTTTCTCTCTGAGGAATCTTGGAGTCCCTCAAAACTTAAAAGTATTTGATAGCTAATGAGTGCTGTCATCACAGGGCTCCTAACCATAGTGTTTCTGCTGGTCATTGTCTTTGCTGCTTGCAATGATGCTTCTATTTTATTGCACAAGGAAAGTCTAAATTTTATTGCCCTTTATATCTAAGTTCAGTTTAATCAGTATTTGTTGAAGCTATATATTTTCAATTATTTTTTACTGACTGGCACCAAATACCTCTGGCCGAATTAAATAACCA